GCAATTATTACTGATATCTCGAGGTGATCGGAATACACTAGCTAGAACTAGAACTTTCTCGAACCAACGTGGTAATTCCAAATATTTAATTACGCCTAATGCCACCTGGCGGGTAGCTGAAAAAGATAGTACATAGTACCACTTTACCGATTATTTACTGTAGATGATACTTGGGTACACCATTATACGTCTGAAACAAAAATATAGTCCAAACAGTAGGCTGCAAAGAAAGAATCGGCTCCAATAAAGCAAACACTGTATTTTCGGCTGGGAAAGTGACGGCAACTGTTTTTTGGGATAGCTATGGAGTTATTTCAACCGATTATCTTCAAAAAGCAAAACCCATTACAGGAGCATACTACGCTTCATTACTTGACGAGCTGATTGCGCATGGCTGGTGTAAACCTCGGAGTAGAAATGGGTCAATTGAGGCTGAGCCTATGGCTTACTGCGCAACCTCTGCTGCAGGCAGCCAGTGATGCGATTGAACCCAGGTTTGTGTTTAATAAACCCTACAAAATACAAATAAAATAGAACATATATGCAATACGCATATATACAGACGGCTCAAAAACTAAAGAAGGCTCAGGATATTTCATCAGTTCTACTGTAATATAAATTGATTTGACAACCCCAAAAAAAATTAAAAAGATTACCTGAAAATAACATCAACATCGTGACAACGTAACATCAACAACGTAAGTCCTTCCATCACTATCACAATGGAGAAGGAAATCCACAACGAATTGCCTTTCTTAGACGTATTGGTGAAGAGGACCGACACTAAATGGGAAACATCTGTATATCAAAAACCCACTCACACAGGACAGTATCTGAACCAGAAATCCAACCACCGTCAATCGACTAAGAGAGGAATCATCAAGACTCTACTAGACCGTGCTTTTGGGCTCTGTAATAGAAAGGAGGGTCTCGAAAAGGAACTAGGCATCGTCAAAAATGACCTTCAACGGAATGGTTACCCCAGAGCGATGGTAGAACAGGCCTTAGCTAGAAGACAGCAAAAACTCCACAAGGAAGAGAAGCCGCCACAACCAGTACTTGTACTTTCCTACATCAGAAGATTATCGGAAAGAATAAGACGGATTGGGTTCAAGTATAACATCAGGACCTGCTTCAGATCTGGGAACACTAACCGTAGCAGCCTCACGAAAACCAGGCCATCAAACGCGGACTGCGATTCCAAGAATTACATTTACCGGTAACAAATAATTTTGGCAAAAAANCACACAGCGAGGAGAAACCAGCAAATCCGGAATAGCAGAGCATGTTTGGACTCATCAACACAACATCAAGTGGGCTCAAGCTGAAATCATCCACAAAAAGGAACACTGGTTCCTCTTAAAGATTTCAAACCAAGTTATGTCACGACAAGATATGATGAAATATTTTTTTAATGCTAAAATGAGAATGATTTTTTCGAAAAATGAAATTTTTGGTTCGTTTTTTCTGATCCAGCCACATTGCTGGACCTACTGCCAATTGAATTTCCATCTGAAAATGCTAATAATTCGTCTCCGGTTGAAACTGAGTGTCTTTAAAAATACTGACCTTATGAATCCTATGAAATCGATGAGAAAAAACTCTTGAATAAAAATTGCAAAAAAAGCTTATCGTACCTTCGTTATTGCGACTTCGAAACAACTACTACAGTAATGAATATCGCTATCTGAACACCAACTTTAACGAGCAATCAATTTAGATAGGTGCTTGTTACCAGGAAATAATTACTTCAAATAATTACAAAGTAATATTCCATCCCCTTTTTCCTCAATTTATTTCAAACTGTCACTCTATGTATTTACAAGTGATCTTCAAGAACGTCCATCCAAGCGTTTTCCACAGAGATGTTTGTTTTTCCTATGCACCTATTTTCCTCAGATATTCAAAAGTAAAGGAGGGCACATTTTTATTGTTTGAGTTTCACCAATATATCGCCTTGAACGACTCACCCTGTATACATAAGAACTAGAATCGTACTAACGACGGTTCATCTTCCAAGCAACCTCACATGTGGCACGTATCTCCATTTACATATTCATTTTGTTTCGTCCTACCGAAAACAATTGTATATGGCAACACATACTATATTTTTCATTTTTTAGTTTCATATGCTATAAAAGCGTGTTTTTTAGTCTTTTTAAACTATATATATTTTATCCAAACTTTGGGATCAATCAGCCGTATATTGTTTAGAAAAATTACCATTGATATTTTCCGATTCCGGAGAGGGAGCCTGAAAATCAGCTTCCAAGTCCAAGCCCAAGGTAGCAGGAGCACAGAGGAGGGTTACAAATAAGGTAGCAGGCGCGCGTGTTAAAAAAATATTTTTTTTCAAATGAAGAAAGAAATACATGTAAAGTGAGTTCGAATTATATCAAGGAGACTACGTACAGCACCATCTACCCGCGAATAGATCAAGCAATAATGTCAATATATCAAGGATATTACATACAGCGCCATCTGTCCGCGAATAGATCAAGCAATGATGACGATATGTTAAGGAGATTACCTACAGCGCCATCTGCCCGCGAATAGATCAAGCAATAATGTCGGTAATTCTGTCAAGTACAGATCCCAAGCATCCAAACGGGAAATAAGAGTTACAAACATACATACATACAGGTGAAGTTGATATAAAGCGTGTTGAAAAGTAATGAGATATTATACCAATGAGACTTTTCTGCACAATTTAATGCCAATTAAAGGTGGTTACTATAAATGTTTTGCTCAATTCGTGTGTGAGAAAGTTTTCACATAATATTCAGTTGAACAGAAAATTTCAGTGTCGTTATTTCGGCAACAGTTCAGGACTATCAGGACTTTTATAGTAAGATTTGTCTTTGTTCTCAAAATAAGCTTCAGTTTCGACGATTATATCTTGACATCGGTGTTAAATTTCTTTCCAGCGAGCATTCTCTTGAAGTCTGGGAACAGGAAAAAGTCACTGGAGCCAGGTCTAGAGAATACCGTGGCTGCGGAAGCAATTTGATGCCTAATCCATGCAATTTTGCCATCGTTTTCATTGATTTATGACATGATGCATTGCATTGATGAAACAACTCTTTCTTTTTCTTCAAATGGGGCCGTTTTTCCGCGATTATGTCCTTTAGTAACGCTATGTTATAGTCGCTGTTGATGGTTTTACCCTTTTCAAGATGGTCGATGAATGTTATACCATGCGAATCTCAAAATGCATATACCATAACCTTGTCAGTTGACTGTTACGTCTTTGCACGCTTTGGGGTCGGTTCACCACGTGAAGTCCACTCAGATGACGACCGTCTTGATTCTGGTGTGAAATGGTGGAGCTATGTTTCATCCCATGTCACATATCGATGCAAAAGTTCGGGTTTTTATGGACAAACAATCCTCAGAATCATCAATTCGAAGAAGCACTCCAAATCTTACAGAGGAATCTATCCAAAGATGGGAACCTGGAAGATAGAACGAATTCACCTATAGAAGTAATTATGAATTACTAGGATGCTGTGTACGAAACTGCTATATCCAACTGAAAGACGAATTCTTAATATAAGATGAGGGACTGCCAATGGGATCGCCACTTTCACCAGTTATAGCCAACATATATATGGAGTGGTTTGAAACTCTGGCCATTGAAGAAGCCCACAAGAAACCTCGTGTCTGGTTGAGATACGTTGACGACACCTTCATAATATGGAACCATTGGAATACTGCATTAGATGCCTTCCTGAAACACAACGAATTGCCATTCTTAGACGTATTGGTGAAGAGGACCGACACTAAATGCAATGAATTGCCATTCTTAGACGTTTTGGTGAAGAGGACCGACACTAAGTGGGAAACATCTGTATACCGAAAACCCACTCATACGGGACAGTATCTGAACCACGAATCCAACCACCATCAATCGACAAAAAGAGGAATCATCAAGACTC